GTTGTCCAAGTTTTTGGTGTTGCTCTCTCTCTCTCTCTCTCTCCTCGTCTGTGTTTCTCTTCACATATAAGAAGAAAATGCGAGCACCTTCGGGGCATCGGGAAACATGTTGAGAGAGGTTGATGCATGCACCCTAATTCATTTGTTTTGTGCTTGTTTGGTAATATAAAATCTGATCATCATATCAAGCAGGCGTTCGTTCCTTTCGTAACTCATGGAAATCTCAATAATAACTATGACGGGATATTGATTACCTAAGCAGGCGTTCGTTCCGTTTTTAACAATTATACCACCAGGCAACATAAAGTTGAGTTCAAATTGATCTCTATTATGTGTTTGTATACACATTTTTGGTAATAATTTTGGAGATTTTAACAATTATGGGAATTACTTTGTAGATTTTTATTGAAATGTGTTATTAAACAAATATGTTGGAAATATGTTGATAATCAATAAGATGTATCCCCACCGGGTTCCACCCCCAAAAGAATTTCTATTCTAGAATATCCACTCCGGGGGTGTTCATGTTTGGGGTTGGTAGGGTACCTCTTTCTTTTCTTTTCTTTTTCTGTTTTTTTAAATACATCTAGTACCTCATTTTTAATGAACAATCGAGTAGCACTATTAGGTTTAGAAATTTAAACAATAAATTTCAAAAATTAAAGATAACCTGGTAATTAGACATTATCCAAACACCTCAAGTTTCTTTTGATCTCCTATCATGTATGCCACTTTGGAAAATTTTCTATTATGTTCTCTTTGTGTGTAAAAAGAGTCGTGAGCTTAGGAGTCATCACTTTCTTTTTACTTTCCGCTTTTTGTCAAATGGTAGAATATTTAGGTTTCATGAGTTGATTTTTTTCCCCCTAAGTCCTTGGTCATTTCTAGTCATAGGGCTAAATGTAGTCCACGGCTCTAAATTTAGCCCTCCAAAATATTAATTTTTTAAAGAATAGTGTATGACTAAATTTTTTCATCTCCAGCCATGCAGGTCTATATTTAACGGCCCTTCATATTTTATTATTTTGAGAAAAACTGTGGTACAACACTCATACATTCCACTATACTAAGTATTGTTTAATTTAATTAAACTACTATTTAGAGACAATATTCCACTACACTATCTTCAAAGATTTATGAAGGACTTGCAAAGATGTTCATCTTCCACTCGTGACCAATTTTGTCCCTTTGAAGTCCGGGATATTTTTCAAACAATGTGAATAACAAAATAAGTAAAGAGAATAAATTTATAGGAAATGTTTGGATGAAATGAGTGTGAAAAATATTTGACAAAAACAAAGAGTGAAAATTTGTGAATAAGTAGAGAATGTGATAGAATTTGTAAGAAATGTGGAACGAAAAAAAGTAACGTTTCAAATTCAATTATATATATATATATAAACAAAACGGATTTAAATACATTTTAAAATGTTATTAAAAAAACTAAAGGCTAGCTAACGTCAGCACGCCTTTAATATTGGCCTTTGGATCTGCAGTTGCACAAGATGTTACGTGCTCATGCCCACTCATGATACTTTCTCTTCTTGAAAAGCACATGCACTAGGCCCACACAAAAATTTGGCATGGGCTATAGCTGGGCTACAAGTGGCCTGGATTGAGAGCTAAAGGGCTAAATGTGGCCCTCCAAAATTTGGATAAATTTTTTTTAGCCCATGGCTAGGTATATATTTTGCATTATTTTAGGGCTATATTTGGCATATGACCCATAGTTGGAAATGGACTTAGAAGTCATTTTACAAATGGATAAATTTATTTTTAAAATTTTTAAGATAAGGTGGATGGAGAAATAGGACAATGGTGAAAATAGCAGCACTCTTTTTTTAATAGAAAAGTTTTTTTAGGTCCATTTTAATCGAAAATGAAGTTGTGGAAGCTTAAGAGATAGATTAATGGCAAATTGAATCTAGCTTAACGACTTAGGGCTCGTTTGAGAGTAATTTTTGAAGGGCTAGAATCATTTATGGAGAGAACCATCTCTCACATGCTTTTCCATATAATCACTTTAAGTGATTTTAAGCGATTCTGGGGAGAAGCACCTCTCATGTGCTTCTCCATAAAATCACTTAAAAACCACTTAGGGCTAGTTTGGCATTGTTGTGTTATGAAAATAATCTCTGTCAGATTTGCTGTGAGAGAAAGCAATTTGACGTTTGGTAAACATTTTGTTAAAATTGTTGTTGGTACTAATTCCCGCATAATTAGAAAATAATTTCCGCATAATCATTAAATCCAGTGCCTCTTCAAAATTGATTCCAGCATAATCAAAAAATGAAAGCACATCATTAGAAGTTTTCCCTTGTAACTTTCTCTCACAGCAATTTATAACAATAAGTAATTTTCTCATACTTTACCAAACGGGTTGGGCTTCCCAAAATTTTTTAAAAAATCACTTATCACCCCAAATAAGCCAAACGGGCACTTAAAGTGATTATATGGTGAAGTAATTCTCCATAAAAGTAATTATTAGCATATCTAGAATCACTCCCAAACAACCCCTTAATATCCTACAAAAGTGAAGGAGTTAGTAGATTTGATTGCATGTACGTATCTTTGACATTCATTCAAATTTAATTGATGGAAATTATAAAGGTATTTTTGAAGAAATGTCACCTAAATTTATACATCAGTTTCAATTTGTCACCTTAAAGAAAAATTTAAGAGAAATGTCATCTTAATTTTTCAAAATTCATGATTTATCATCTGACTTCAACATCATTCAATTTTCCATTTATTTTTAAAGGTATTTTAGTCTTTCCATTTTCAAGGAAATAAAAAGAGAGAAAAAAGAGACCTCCCTTTCTCCCCCAACCCAACCCCACCCGCCCCAAAAACACATCGCACAAACCCCCCTCCCTCTCTTCTCTCTCTTTCTATGTCTCTCTGTCTCTCTCTGAGCATGTATAAATTTTGTTATGTTGTTTATTGAGCATGTTTGAACTTTTCAGATACATGATTTAAAACTACTTAAGCTTCCCACCCAAAATCCAACCCATTTCTTGTCTTTATAGTTTCATTAACTTACGCCACTATATTTCTGGTGAAGGATCTAAAGTTCGTTTGATCACCATCTGTAGCCTAACGAATTGTTGGTTTTGTAGCTGTCCTTCCACAAATTTGCAATATGTAAATGAAAAAAATACCAAAAAGAAAAACGAAGAAGAAAAGATGGATTCGGTTTGGGTGGACTAAGGGAATTTGTGTGTGGAGAGTAGGTGTTCCATGGTAGAGAGAGGAGGAAGGGGGGATGGAGGAAGGGGATGTGAAGAGGGAATGGAGAATGGATTTCAAGGTGGGCGGGGTTGGTTGGTACCGTTAGTGGGTTATAGGGGATTTTTTTTTTTTTTTTTTTAATTGGTTTTGTTTTATAATGTTTTTTTCATTTTTAATTTAATATCCTTGAAAATGAAAAAACTAAAGGGGCGTTTGGTATCCTATTCAAATAGGGAACTCAAAAACTTTTATTTTTCTTAAAAACAAGGAGTTCTTAAATCTATTTTTAAGATTTAAAAACTTGTTTGATATGCAACTTGAAAACTGTTTTCAAATATTAAAAATTTGAGAACTTATGAGTTGTTAGAAAAAAAATTGAAAAAACAAATACTTTTTGTTTTTAATAATTATGGTGTTCTTTAGTTGTTCTTGAGTTTGAATTTTTAAAAATAGGGTTACCAAACAGGTTTTCTTTGTTTTTCACTCAAATTCTGTTTTTAAGTTAAAAAAGTTGGATTCAAGTTAAATACCAAACATGCCCAAAATACCCTTTAAATGGATGGAAAATTGGATAGTGTTAAAGTCAGATGACAAATCATGGATTTTAAAAAATTAAGATTATATTTTTCTTAATTTTTTTTTAAGGTGATAAATAAAAAATGAGGTAAAAAGAATCCAATTATAAAATGTGAAGCTTTGAGCCGAAGACAATTATCGTTGACTTATATTCATGCTTCGCAAGAAACAAAAACCATCTGACTCTTTTAGTTTGTAATGCCACATAAACGACGTAATTAATGCATCATCTCTCAATATCAATCAGATCGGTTGATGGACTATAATTTTTTTCACATGAAATTGCTTTTTTGGTCGGATTTTGACTTGAATCTTCCATACCATATCTACATCTGAAGTGCCCCCAGATTACCATATTTAGATTCCTATCATTCATTGGGGTCAAACTTTTCCGTTTTCAATATTTAATCCCATGTGCCCCCATTGATGATGCATGTTGCACGTGCTAATTGATGATCGCATTTTGAGCTGGAAATTAATTTAAGAAGTCTATGTTCAGTCCTCAACTGCATGATACCATTGCAATAAAATATAGAGATAGAAATGGGGGAAAACTCAGTGATATATTCAACTACCGATCACCATTTAAACATCTCCCATATTTAGGGATGAGACTTTTATTTCTTGGAAAACTAGACCTGCGAGATCCCACACTGCAAACCCAAAAGATAAACATAATTATGTTAGTGTGAAGAGCATTAAGAGGCTTGCGCCTAAAAGGTGTCGTAGCATGTTTAGAAAGAGAGGAATGGGCCAATACTTGCATGGAGACCCTAATGTCTGCAAACTATGACCCAACCACAAATTTTCTGTTGAGATTAAAGTCTGATTTTTGACTTCGGATATAATTATAACATGTTGAGATGGCGTATGATGAGGTTTTGCTTTTTACTGAAAAAAACCAGAAAAAGTTGTTTATCATTTAACTTTGGAAATGCCAAAGAGTTCTGATGAACAAGCTAAAGCCTCTAACATCTCTCACTACACTACACAACACTACAAACTAGAAAATTTGTACCAGCAGGGAGGCAGGAGGGGTGGGTGGGTGGGAAAATAAAAAGGTAGAAGAAAAGAACATCTACATCAGGCGAGGGAAGGGGAAGAAAGGGTACGGGTGCTAATTCAATAGCTTGCTTTGTGATTCTAGATTCTAGTTGTAGTATACTGCGTGAGAGTAAAGGGATGCTGCTGAACTAATGGTGAGTTTCGTTTGGTAAAGTCTGTGGCGTTTTTCTAAATACATGCTTTCTGCATCGTTCAAAAATGCTGTCATATATCAGATCAAATTGAACTCCTGCTCTCTCTCTATTCACAATGAAGAATATGTGATCAGCTTCCACAATCTTGTAGTACCTGCATTAATTAATCAATGCGATCAGCTTCCAACTTATCTTTTTCCTCACAGAGAAACAAGGAAGAATCGGCAGGGATGCTCAAACAAGAGGCAATACTAACCAGATGCCTGGTTGCAAGGGGTGGCAATCTGAATCATCTTTCACGAAACGGCTCGGGTGTTCAACTGGTATAAGAGGGTGAGTCATGGAGATGGTATTGAGAGCTCCATCATTGTCCTGCCAATCCTCATCCCTGCACATACATTATTCACACAAGGCTTGAGTAACCACATGCAAAATATGGATTGTGGTGAAACTACTGATGCTTAGAAAACCAAAGCATAATATGCACTTAAAAACACACCTGTAGCCTTTATAGGGGGAAGAGACATCAGGAGGGTGACGCCATTGGCTCATCTGCAATACTCTAATGAAGAGCAATGGGTGAATTCCAAATATGCTAGAAGGTACCGTGACACCCAATATCTTCTTTGTGCGCTTAGTGGCATAGCTGAAGTAGTATGTGTTGGGAAAGGAATGTAGATGGCTGTTGAGCCTTAAAGACCCTTGAATTGTAAGGTCCGGGAGGATCCAATCATCCGAAGCGAACGGGCCTGAGTTTCCCAACAGGCAATCAACAAGACCCCAAACACCCACTTTCTTCCATGAGATGTTAAAGTGATCAAACCCAAAGTTGTAATAAGCCTTCAGCCAGGGAATGTCAAGCCAATCATAAATGATCACTCCTATGCGGCATAACTGCAGCAGACATATAGGTTTCATGGTTCTTCCATCTTCTGGCCTGAGACATACGGAAACCACAGTAAGTATTTTAGCACTCAAAAGTCTTTCTGTTGAATAACAAAAGTTTATTTTTTTTAAATCCGAAAATATCAAGTACAATTTCACAATTCAACTCTTGTAGCATGCGACTGGTTGGCTTATGACACAATAAACTCCAAAGATGATGTGTGTTTGCCTCTTCAGAATGATATAAGTTAATGTAATGTAAGTTTTTGGTTACTTCGTTTCCACTTTTCTGTTGCATATGCTATAATGGCTTATTATAAACATAAAACAAAGAGACAAAAAAATATGAGGTCAGATAGAAGTTTCTATCTACTTAGCTCTTTTGACCACCCAAGTGTCTTATCAAGCATTGCATCCGTCACAGTTAAAATTTGCAATAATTTAGCTACACAGTTTTGAACATCTAGAATAAGCTCAAATGAAACTCACTGCATCCCATCCAAGTAGGTTCTTGTTGTCCCATTGAATGCTCCCGACAATGATGTTAAGCTTAATACCCAATTCTCATTGGTGCTCTCATACCCCTTGAAAGCCTGAAAACAAAAGGAAACATTTCAGTCAATATTCAAAACTACTGTCTAAACCAATTTCATAGCTTCTTCATTAATTTGGTGATGCAATTTGGACTAACCTTATCAGCAAGCATTTGCTGCAACACACGAACGACCTGTGCTCCGGCGGAATGCCCAACAAAGTGAATAGGATGGTCCTCATCCCATTCAGGGTAGTGTCCTACATCCCAGTTACAACAAACCATGAGAAACTTGCTATGACTATGAGGCTTACAACACAAACAATTTTCATCAAATAACAGAAGGGAAAAAAATGAATGGGGAAAGCCAGAACCTTGTTCATAAAGACGACCGAACTGTGAATGCCCACAAGCCTTGCTGTGTTCTTCACCATAATCGACTCTCCCACCCTTCAAATAATAGAACAATTCACGAGCCCTGAAACCCCAAAACCCAATAAAACCTGGCTAATATTGGATAAAAGAAAAGCCATGGATGAATTTCAAAGGAAAAGTCTTTGAGGCTCCGAGCACAAACCTATCATAAATGCTGGTTAGAGATCCCAAATCAGGCACGAGAACCCTTTCGTCTTTCTTCTCTGCCCCGGCGAAATACGATAAAGCTCCCAATCTCTGAAAAACAGGGGAAATGAAAAACCCAGTTACACAAAAAGGGAACAAAATCGATTAGAAAACCCAAAATGCTCCACTTGGTTAAGGAATCAAAACCCATTTCAGAAAAAAAGCAACATACCCCTTTGCCAAATCCAAATATTCCATGAACCAAAACTATAGGAGGTAGAATTTCATTGGTTGATGTGTCTCTAGGCACCACCTCCTCTTTCACCTCAATGTTCATGTTAGGCTTAGAGAGCAATTCATTCAAAGCCTGCGATAGATCACCAGCCACAGCTGTGCTGAATATGTAAAACCCATAGAGCATATGAACGATACTGCTCACAATCAGCTCCGAAAACTGCAGTGCAACTATCCATAATCTAATCATTTTGTCCAAACTGGAAAACATTTATCCGTTTTTGCTGCTTCTTCTTGTTCCTCCCAAAAACAGAGCCTTCTTCTTCTCCAACCCAGAAAACAAAAACAACCAAGAAGGCTCCTTCTTCTGCAGAATGAAAGCCTCAAGCTTTTTAAAATAGCTTGAAGCCCCCTTCTATGAAAAATCAATAGAAGGGGAAAAATCCCAAAACAAGGTCTATGAAACTCCGCGGGTCTTTGTTTTGTTATCCAACGAATGGGAAAAAAGAAAAGGAAAAACAGGAAAGGACTAATTTTTCTATGCTCGAGGTCTTGGGGAAAATGGGTTTTGGCTTCCTTCCCCTTCGCCAAATTGCCACCACAATTGTCTCGTTTCCCAACTATATTCGTCTCACGCGAGTCACAAGACCCACAACCAATCAAAAAGCCTTACTGTTTCATTCCTTATTTTGTCGTTTGGAGGCAGACAGCAAGAGAGGCCAGAAAAAGCAAAAGCTTGTAGGGGAGAGAGAGGGAGGGAGAGGCCTTGTTTGGTTTGGACTGGTGCAACGTGTCCTAGAGAAACTCGCTCCAAGAAATTATAAAAATCCAGGTGGAGCCCTCTAAGTGGACAGCAACATTTGCTCCTCTGATATAGGTAAAAATAAATAAAACAGGTAATATCTAATAATAAAGATTTTTTAGATAAGGTCTTTTGTTGTAACTTACCCTACAATTATACTCAACAAAATTCTAGGCGTTTCTATTGAGGTCCAAGTGTGACTGTGAATGTGTGCGTGCACGCTGGAGCTAAAGGCCGGATAGGAAATTAGAAGCCCTCTCTCTCTCTCTCTCTCTCTCTCTCTCTCTCTCTCTCAGCGGACCAACCATAAACCGCATAATCTAATAACATTAATGTCATATTTAATTCAATACCCAAAAAAGTCCCTTATTTTGAATCAACGCACTTTCGAAACGTAAAACGTAAGGTGGACAACACATGAGAAACTCGTTTCATATTGATCTTGATGGTTCTATTAGTATTTATGATGGCCTAGAGTATGGGCATTTGGGCAACCACTTTTTGCAGCAAAGGATATTGATTGATTGAAGGATTCAATTTGGCGTCGACTATTTATGATTATTGTTGCCCACGCACGTACGCATCTGCTAGCTACTAACTTCTCTTAACCTCTTTTTACATACCGACCAAGTTTTGACTTGCAATTTTGACGGAATAACTGGGACGTATGTTGCACGTCTTATCTTATAAACGTGGTGGGGTTTTCGAAGGAGTAAAGTAATGGTTTGGTGCACATGCAAATTCATTGCTGGCTAGGCCTATTGCTGGCTATGACTGTCTTTTAGATAAATAAATAAACCAAGTTGGGCCCTGCGGCCAGCAGAGCAGACGTGAGAGACGTTGGTGGTGGGCGATGAGCCATCTGTCACACTGGCGCTGTTGTTTGTTGTCCAAAAGGGAACCGATTTGGATCATTGATGCGTACGCCACCAAAACTTGCTGTGAATCATTGATTTGGTTTGTTTATCGACCGATTCTAAGTTAATATCGTTCTTCACGTATCATCAATCAAATAATTAAAATCATTTTTAAAGTTTCGTTTTCATTGGAGCGTTGCACCAATACATCTGGCTATTGTTTGTTTGGTTTGATAACCCATGAGATTGCCCAAAAAGATATTAGTCTAATTTCGTGTTTGGCAGTTAAACTAAAATTTTGGATTGGATTGTTTAAAACAAAACAAAAAATTCATTATCCCCCTTAAATCAAAGCCTTATACCACAAAATCTAAAGATGAGTAACATGACTCGAGTTCATTAAATTATGATTTGTTGATTAAATTTTGTGTTCGGCATTCGAGTGTTAGGGTATTCTGACGGTATTTTGCTTTTGTGTTTAACATTTAAATACAACCTAATTCCATTGTATATGAAATAAGCATTATTTACTAAATTATTGTGATAAAATCTTACCATCAATATGAAAATTCAGTTTTTAATATATTTTTTCCTCAATATAATCTCACCGACCAACCAAATCAGAGCCACGAGTTACGAGTAGTTGTATTTATGAGTACTTGAGCGCTCCTCCTTTATCGAGAGGGATTGAGCAGCTAATAATTTCTTTTTCTTTTCTTTTTTGGGTCGCAAAATTTAAAATTTGAATTACCAGAAACAGATGCGGGAAAGCGACGACGGGTCTGCTTTTGTGATACGCGGGCCGCGTGAAAGTCCCGCTACAAATCTGAAAGTCGAAAAGTAAAGGCCAAATGACGAGTCGCCAGAGAAGAAGAATCCACTTTATCCTAGAAACTTCTGACACAATTCATGATTAAAAAATTGCTAATCCAATTTCCAGAACGTCGTCGTCTCAATTCTATGATTCTAGAGAATGCAACAGCACGGCCCAAAATTGCTCCTACTTAGCCCACCACGTGAAAGGCCCAAATTACATTCCAAGCCCAAAATTAACTTCCGGATTCATTTTCATTTTCATGTTCAGCAAAACCCCTCTCTGTCACTCTCCTCGCTCTCGCAAAACCCTAATTTCAGAGATCCAATGGCGCTGCAACAGTTTGGGCGCACTAAGAGCGTGACGAAGCGGTCGACTAAGTATGTGGAGCAAGCTCTGTACTTGAGGCTGTTCAAGGATGGTGGCTCCGAGGTGAGCGTTCGTCAGCAGCTCAACGAAGTCCTCAAGAGTCGCAAGCGAGTTTACAAATGGGAGGTCGGCGACACCCTCAAGAAGCTTCGCGAACGCAAGCTCTACTACCCCGCTCTCAAGGTCCGCAATTCCAAGTTCTACATTTTTTACTGGTTATGATTTGCCACGTTTTTTGTTCTTCACAAAAGTTACTCAAATTATGAATTTAGATAGCATTGTTTCTAGCTACTTGATTTGTAGAACTTAGGTAATTCACATATTCTGGAAAGTAGATGTAGATTTATTCAGCGCTTATGTGATTGATTATTCTTTAATGTGTATGGTTTTCACAATTTAATAAAATGGTTGGAAGTGTCATTTGTAAATTGGATAGTATTTTTCAAGAAATGTGAGATCTTTCTCTCTGTCTTGAGGTTAGAATGTAAGAATATTTGTCTAATCACCAATGTCAGCTTACCCATGTGTGTATTTGTCAATTCTTTATATGACATTTTATTTTGTTGTAAATTATTCTCGATTGTTGCCACTTTGAATTTATTCAGACAAGTACCTCTTGTTGGCTTTTTTACCATATTTTTCTTTTCGGAAGGTTGTATGGTATATGGGAGGAAGTAGGTTGATATTACTATAAGTTGAAGCTTAATCCTGTAACAGTTTCGTATGTTAAATGTTATGTTTCCTTGTTTTCCCTGTTTCTAATCTGAACTGGAAGAGATAGATGCTAAGTGTGTTTCACATTACAGCTCTCAGAGGCTATGGATAGAAGAGGAATGAACAAGACAGTCAGTGATCAGGCAATACATCTTGATCTTATAGCTAAAACCCGAGATATTCCTGCTGCAGAAAATTATTTCATTGATCTTCCTGAAGCAGCAAAGACCCATCACTCATATGGTGCCCTGCTCAATTGTTACTGTAAGGAATTGATGACCGAAAAAGCTGAAGCACTCATGGAAAAGATGAAGGCACTTAACCTTTCTTTAACCTCCATGCCTTATAACAGCCTTATGACCCTTTACTCAAAAACTGGGCATCCAGAAAAGATCCCAGCCATCATTCAAGAAATGAAGGCTGGCAGTGTCATGCTCGATTCCTGTTCTTACAATGTCTGGATGCGTGCTCTTGCTGCTGTCAATGATATTTCTGGGGTTGAAAGGGTTATTGATGAGATGAAGAGGGATGGTCGAGTTTCCAGTGATTGGACCACGTATAGCAACTTAGCTTCAATTTATGTTGAGGCTGGCATGTTTGAGAAGGCAGAAAAGACACTTAATGAATTGGAGAAAAAAAATGCACGCCGAGATCTTTTGGCTTACCAATTCCTTATTACATTGTACGGTAAAACGGGGAATCTGCGTGAAGTTTATCGGGTATGGCGTTCCTTGAGGCTGGCTTTCCCTAAAACTGCAAATATAAGTTATCTGAATATGATCCAGGTTTTGGTTAACTTGAATGATCTACCAGGTGCAGAGAAATGTTTCAGGGAATGGGAATCGCGGTGCTCAACCTATGATATTCGAGTAGCAAATGTTTTGATTGGAGCTTATGCTAAAGAGGGTATGCTAGAGAAGGCTAAGGAGCTCAAGGAGCAGGCCCGTAGGAGAGGAGCCAAGCCTAATGCAAAAACTTGGGAGATCTTTCTGGATTATTATTTGGAGACTGGAGAATATCAGTTGGCTGTTGACTGTGTTGCCAATGCGACATCCATTGGTAGAGGGGATGGTGGGAAGTGGAGTCCATCACGTAAGATTGTCAAAACCTTGATGGAGCATTTTGAGCATGAGAAGGATGTTGATGGGGCAGAAGGTTTCCTGGAGATTTTGAAGAAGTCTGTAGACTCCCTAGGGGTTGAGGTGTTTGAGTCATTGATTAGAACTTATGCTGTTGCTGGAAGAACAACCCCTTCAATGCGTGCTCGGTTGAAAATGGAGAAATTGGAGGTGGGCGAAGCCAGTAAAAAGTTGCTTGAGGGCGTATGTGTGGAATGAGTTTTGTTGGTCTCCCATATGCATTTCTTCAGAATTTCAATTTCTAGGAAACGAGTTTGAACGGTCTTGGGGGGTTTTTGTTCCCACAATAAAATTTTCCTTTCTACACCGTAACTAGTAATCGAAGGATTATTGTTGTAATTCGATACTTGGGTTCAATTCATAGTTTATTATGTGTTTTACAGTTCCAAAGTGGTCTTTGCGAATCAAAATGTTTAGCGGCCCAGGGGCCAATCAAACTCTACTTCCATTCTCTGTTTGGACAAAGGAATTGAAAATTACATAGAATTCTAAAATGACGGAAGTTAGATTTCCATTATTTCAATTTCTAGCAATTGAAAATTTCAGTATTTGGACTTATGTACGTCAAATTTTGTAAATGACGTTATGGAAATTGTGAAACAATGCCTATTTTGGTAGAAATTAAACTCAAGAATTTGATATCCCAATTTTTACGATTTTTTTTGTGCGTCATTTGATACATTTTGCATTCAAGTTACCAAACAAAGAAATTGTCAATTTCTCCTTTTGAATTCTCAATTTTTAGCTAAATTTCCAGTTATTTTTCCTCATCTAAGCAAAGACCATAGATATGGTTTGTGTTGGTATTTGGTATGCAACTCAATGCGGTTGTCGGAGGTTTGCACTAATATTGCTGAGTCCTATGAAAAACACTTTTGGAAAAACATTTCCGGCATCAGCCCAGTTTCCATAAAAGCCCAATTTACAGTCAAGTCCCAGAAGAGCCAGAACCCTATCTGAGCTTTTCTATGTTGGATTTGATTTTGACCCATCCTTACCATACCAAAGAGAACTCTTGTAAAATGAGCATAGCTGTGTGTGCGTATAAAAAATACTTTCATATTCTAGACGGATAGAGAGAATTGAGCAAAGAAACAGAGATAAAGAAGTATTTTTCTCCTATGGATATGGCTGATTGCTATACCACATGTCAATCTATTGCATCAGCAACGTGTCCTTGATGTCAGTGACTGTCTGTCACCACCTGTACGGTTAGTGAGCTGATTAGATGAGAAATAGCGGAACGAAGAGCAGGCCGCACTTGGATCATCACATTCGCATTCACATTCACATCATCATAGATAGATAGATAGATAGATAGATAGATAGGCACTTAGATTTGATCATTTGAATCTACTTTTTTCAAAGTCAATGCGCAACACTGAGTTGTATAAAATAAAAGACCCACCTCCTCATGTGACATCATGTCGTGTTTGATTATATCGTGTTTCCACCACGCATTCTCTAGTTTAAGAAACAAGTCTTATTCATGCAAAAATATATTTGACTATTGTTTTTTGGCTTCTTTAGCTCTTTTCTTTTCTTTTCTTTTCTTTTCTATGTTGTTTACGTGCTGCGGCCTGCAGCCTGCAGCCTGCAAGGCATCATTCGTTGTTATTGTTGTGGTTTAGACTCGATTTTGATTTGAAAGGGATCTTGGGTTATATGATAGTGTCGACACCTTTTTTCTTTTTTTCTTTTCTTTTTTTCTTTAATTAGATGAAGCTTAATTATGACTATTAATAAATAAAGTAAACTTTAAGAAAAGACTGAAACCCAAATCATGCATGGAGATGGAGATGGAGATGGAGATGGAGGAGGCAGCAGTCTCGACAAATTCATGTGGGAACACGAAACAAGGTGGGTGACTGACTCAGAAAAATATGCTACATTGGTACTATGTCACTAATATATATATATATATATTATTATAACTTAATCTTCGGAAGGGTTCTGGTTAAGTACGTTTTTGTATTAGTTTATTGTATGAAACAGTGCTGTCTTTGAAGGCAAGGAAGCTCACTTTATAATCTCTGGACGCAGTTTCACACGACCGGTAATTTTGGCCAACATCTCTTCTCTTTCTTAATGATGCCATTGCCATAGATAAAGCTTCAGCTTCAGCTTGACAGTTGTAACCTTGGCTACGCATGGGACACCAACTTGTAATTATCTTTCTTTAATAAGGCTAATTAATGTATCTTCCTTTAAGTGGACCTACATGTTAATGTAATCATAGTCATTAAGCTTCCCCAGACAAGGTCCTGGGTTAGCGTCCTAGCATCCATATAGTGTGTGTGAATTTAGTATATTATTATCTCTTTCAATAAAAAAATGTATTTTAAAAAAAGTATAGAGAAAATGAAAAATGACAAACCATAGTATATTCACTATTTTTTTTTCTTCCCCAAAATTTACATAAGTCACTAAAGGGTGGTATAATGAATGGATCACCTGTTAGTTGGGAGAAAAAAGAGAGAGAGAGAGAGAGAGAGAGAGAGAGAGAGGGATTAACAAGGAAGACAAATACAAGAATACCCCAAACTTAATTGCCGATGGATTAACCCAAATCACCCAAGAAAAATTTTTAAAAAAAAGAAGGAAAAATTGAATATTATGTAAATATATAAAACCCTAGCTCTATACCTTTTTTTCCCTTAGGGACACCTCACATTTCTTCCAGGACCACCATAGTAAAAATAATTCCCCCAAAAGTTATTAATCCCTCCTTGTATGTCGTAGCAATTTGGATGATCAGCCAAAACTTTGAGGTTCGATAATGGGATTAAGCTATTGTCCCAATCCACAACTTGCATGTTTCGAAAATAGGAAGCTTTCCCAAAACCTTCACCTGCAAAATGCCCACTTCCCATTTGTGTGGCGGTGTGAGAACCAGAAGGCCTCGAGTTCACAACTTCTCCACCAAATTGCACCATGCTTGCGTGGTTTTGAAGATGAGTGAACAAGAATGATGGCCAGTATCCAACTAGGACCCCGGACCCGAATTCCAGCCACCAATTTCCATGCTTTGGATCCTGCGTATTTATGCACAATAATTAATACACTTTTAATATTTCTTCTTCTTCACTCTGAGTGCTCATAATTTCATAAATGAAAATGATTAGATGTTTGTTAATTATACTAATTAATTACAACCCATTTGCATGGTGATTACAAAAAGCTTGTGGGAAGTGAGAATTATGGACAAAGCAATTCTTTTTGTGAAGTAAAAGGAAAGGAAAACTGAAAAAAGAAAAGCCCAGAAGCTCTTTCTCTTGTAAAAGAAGAGAATCTGGTAAAGCAGGAAAAGCACGACGAAATTACAGTCCATTATTTTGGAATTTACCAGTGTAGCAGGGCACGCCTGTAGACTAACCAGTCTTATAAGCCAATCATGATTTTATATTCTATACAATATACGTATGTATATTATTAAATATTTGTTTCTTTTTCTCTCTTTTTGGCATTTCTGGGTAAATTTTTTGTTGGCTTGTTGCAGTGTAGGCATTTTGGCTACGACTCTTTACACATGGCTTCTCTAGCACATGGGACACTTCTAAATTTGTGGAGGGCCTGTCACTGACCGTCAGATTTGTTGACTTTGTAACTTTTCAATGGTTGGATAAAAACTATACAAATCGCACGGTCAAGTGTCATCTATGGTGATATATTATAACTAGTAAGGTGCAAATCTAAGCAGAAGACATAAAATTCTGGGACAAACAAAATGCAGGTTTAAAGGTTTTTAATTAAGGTTAAGGGTAACTTACCTTCCAAATCAATAAGCTAATATCAAACTGTCCACCATTGTAGGATGAAGTTGGAGAAATTGCAGCTCCAATGGCAATTCTGCTATTGGTCTGAACAAAACCTGAACACAGCAGATTGTAGCACCCAGTTGCTTGATATGCATCCGTCTGGCAATTAATAAGAGAATCATTTTATGTTCTATAAACTAACACAATCTTATGCTTGAAGTTGAAGGCAAGGTGATTTTGGTTACTCACAGTCCAATAAGTAAAGAATCTTGGATAGTTGTCCCCATATAGCTCTGGGCTGACCTGCAGAAAAATTAAATGAATTAGCCAACAAAAGTACACGAGAGAAAAGAAAGAGAGGTGGTTGAGCTGTGATTACTGCCTTAAATGTGAAAATAAGTTTTGGTCTTAAATGTGTTGAATTACTCTGCCTCCATGATATTAAGCATTAGGCAGTAGCTTTCATCAATTCAATTATTGTTTTTATAATACTTCCTTTTAAAAACTAAACTCAACCCAATTTAATTAGACTACAGTTTTTTGAATACAAGCGATAGTCTAAAACTATATAGAGAGGGGTGTTTCTCACACACATTAGTACACTACCAAGATGACATGACGGTTCGAATCTGAGACTACTAGTTTGGCCTACAAGTCAGGACCCTTTTTCAAGCTTGGAAAAATAAAATAGAGAAATTTCAAGCTTAATTTAATTAGAGGGAACATTTAGTAAATGAGATATAAACATGCCTGCCAACCAGCTTCAATGGTGTTGAGGTCATCACCAAATGAACCAGAGATGACCCACATTTGAGACAAGCTGAATTCATATTGATTGACAACGCGGGGCGCCCACACATTGATGCTAGCTTTTGCTCCATAATATTGATCTCCACTCACATACCCAACTGCATGCTGCAAGCAAACCAATAACCATAAACACAAAAACCAAAATGAGTAGTGTAAATAATTATTACTTTGTTGGGATATAATAATTTTTCTTTTTCTAATTTGATTTTAATGTGTTTAAAGAAATTCTACAGGACAGGAAAACTTGGTGAGTGCAAGTTCCAGTAGCAAAAGCAGCCATGAAAGTCTGTAATTACTACTAACAGGATATAGAACATCAGCTGCACCACTTTTTCTATGTTGCTTTAAGTAGCAGACAAGTATGGAAATTGGAAACCCAGTTTCTCTTTAGATACTGAGAGAAACTTGTGTTTGTTTTTATGAAATTACATGTCAGTTCAAATGGGAAAAAAAAACAAAAAAAAACAAAAAAAAAGGTGGTGGCCAAAAGCAGTGGATCACTGACTTAGGTCTCATATAAAGAGGAAAAATGTTGTACCTACACGCTTTCATTCATTTCTTTAATTTAGTCTGACAAAGAACTAATTGACTGAAATAAATTCTGGGATTGGCTCTGTTACATGTTGTTCATTTACAAGCACTAACCTCATGGCCATTGCTGGATGAATCTCTTCTGACATGCCTTCTCAATTTTCTTCCAAATCTTTTAACAGAGCTAGCTCTCATCATATCTTGCTCTCTTGTTCTTCTAATTGGAATTGTTCCTTCTGGGCAGAGAGTACCAGACATGGTCCATCGCTGAAAATTCTCAGTGACCATACCAGGAGGCTTTTGTCCTTTGGGTCTCTCAGGTGGATCCTGAAAATTCAAGTTCAAAGAAAAAAGTTGTAAACTTCTAAAGACTTCTCCTTTACTTGCTCCGCTCAGAATTACAATTTCTAAGAACCCCATGAAAAATATGAATGAGCTTATAGAAGAGGTTAAGTTAATACCAATGGCTTCTGCCCTTTTAATTGAGGATGATCAAAAGCTGGTTGATGATGAGATAGAACACAATCTATGAGATCCCCATCTGGACTCTGCAGCAACAGCAAACAAGAACACAACACATTTTAAGTCAAAAACAGAGCAAAACAGAGCCAGAAGCAGAGCAAAGTTTAAGAGTCAAGAAATGCCTGAATTGTCTTGACAGCAGGCTTGTTGATCTTCTTGAGACGATCCCTTATGATGTTCAGCTTTTTTAATTCTTGCTCCGGGTTGAAGGTCTGGTTGGCGGTGCGGTCTCCGCTGATTTTGGAGGCATGGGCAACTGGACATATTGAAGAAACAACAAGAAGGAAGCAAACAAGAATGGGAATGATTGGGGAAATCTTAGACCAGCTACAAGCCATGCCTGAGAAGTTTTCTTGTTTTGTTGCTTTTGTTGAATCCATTTGTTGTTGTTGTTGTTGTTGTGTACGTTGTTGGTATTGTCTTCTTCTGTTGTCATCCAAACAGCACCATATAATATTGCTACTAGTTTTTGTCCATGAAAACACAGCTCCCACCAAATCCAGTATCCAATACATGATGACCATTCTTCTAAGAAACCCGACTCACTGTCTCACCATTTCCAAAGCTTTCGAAACCCCAAAATATGAGAATGAGAGAAAACTTTCCTTCTATTCCTCTCTCTCCGAGACTAAAACAAGGCTTAGTTTTATGTTCTGACAAAATGAGCTTCTGGGCACGAGCTGATTAAAATAACAAGCAAATGGGTTGTGTTTTCTTAAAGTTTTGGCCATGTGGGTGTGGAGTTATAAATGCTGCTGGGTAGTGATGAAATCATGCTCAAAATTTTAAATTTTGGAAAAAATAAATAAATAAAAAAGGGGAGAGAGAGAGAGAGAGAGAGAGGAGAGAGAGAGAGAGAGAGAGAGAGAGAGAGAGAGGTTGTGTAATGTGTGTTTCCAGTCTCCAATACAAAGACTGAAACTTTAGCTTTTGTGTTAATTTTATAGGGGAAAATAGGACTGATTTCTGTTATTCTTTACTTCTTGCTCCGAGGAGAGAGAGAGAGAGAGAGAGAGAGAGAGAGATGGGAATTACACTTGAGTCTGGGTTTCCAAAGTTCTTTGCTTTGGGTGTTCCCTTTCTCACTTCCCTAGATGTTCTTTGTGTCAGCTGCTCTGTTTATATATCATGGCCATCTCCCAAATTCTAAAATTTACCATTTTAATTAGTTTTACAGTCCATAAGTTAACACATTTAATTTTCATACAGCTATTATTATTTTTGGGTATCATTAATTTGTTATATATAAACTTGCCTTCTAATTAATTGGGATTTAAATTTCATCTGAGATGAGAACCATAGCTACCTTTTCAAGCTGTCGTTTTATGGGAGTGAGCCAATTTTCTGAACCATCACTGTGTTGGGTATGCTGAGCTGGCAGTCGGCATGCGTACCTGGTTATGTGCAGTCACTGCATGCTTGCTTATACACTCACCCATGCATTTTCATGCGCATTACATTATGGGTCCTTTGCGTTTAGGGGCTCAATCTTGATTTTATGTTTGATTAAATTATCTGCATAAATGGGTTTCTTAGTAGATTATTATTATTAATAATGTTATATATACATAGAGCTTCTATTTAGGGATCCCTTAAATTAGCTTATTTGAAGGACATCCTTGTAGGACCGAATCCATATTGTATTTCACTAATTCAAACCATCTATATTTTAGATTATCATTCAAATATCATTTCTACAAAAAATCACTTGAATACGGTATTGTTTGATCACTCAATTGTGTTTTGAAATTTTAGTACTTTCTTGAAGTACCGTGTTCATTGATTTTGTAATATACAATTGGATGTCGAAACGTTTTCCCATTTATCTAATTTTTTGCAAAGATGATCTATGAATGTATACTTAAAAAATAGATGGTTTGTATAGTTGGAAATAAATAAATAATAAAAAATTCGTAGGGTATCCTAAAGGGTGTCCCTTAAATAAAATTATTTGAGGAATCTCTCAATATAAAGGGACATATAAATAAAGGGCTTCTTAGATCTATGTCCAAAACGATTAGTTGTCATTGGATTTAGTCCACGTGTTTTTTGTTTTAGATGTAGGTCATTTGACATTTATTACTTTTTTTGTTGTGTCGATTTTAGCCAAACCGTTAGTGAATCTGTTAAATACAGACGTGGCGAATGTGGATTCTATTTTTTAAGGACGTGGACTTACATGTGGACAAAAAAGTAATAAAAACTTATATACTTTTCAAAAATAATTTTAAATCATTAAAATAATTTAAAATTTGAATAATTTAAAAAACAAACAAACAAACAAACCCAGAAGAACCCACCACCCTCCCCCATCTCAACCCTCCCTCATCACCCTTCCATGGCAGCCCAAAGCAAACCAAAAAACCCATCTTCTCCGATATCCCCTTCCCTTCTCAATAGTCATCCTCTCTGTCCCCCTGCTACCTTCTCCGACCCAACGCAACCCACAACATGAATCTCGACTAAATCCCTCAACCATCACCAACTCCACCCCCAAACCCAGCACTTGCACCCTCATCCCAACCTCCCCTAACCCTATCCTCAGCTGCAACTGGCACAGTCCTTTGTCCTCACTTAAACATACCCAACAAGAAAAATCATAAACAGACCCAACCTATGCCATGATGTTCAGCACCTAAACAGACCCAACATGGAAAATCATAATAAATAAATAAAAATCGATCTGGTTATTTTAATTCAACCAAAATTCAAGCAACCATTTTGGTTTTGGTTCTAGGAAGAAAGAAAGAAAGAAAGAAGGTGGTTTGAAAAGAGAGAGAGAGAGAGAGAGAGAGAGAGAGAGAGAGAGAGAGAGAGAGGGTTCTGGAGAGTAGGCTGGGGTCAGGTACGAATCGGAACCGCAACAATGTCTTCTCATATCTTCTCCTATCTTGAGTATGTACTCATAAATGTCTCTAAAATTGGATATGAACTTGAAAATAACCCTATAGTTTAGGGGGTTTTATGTAGTTTGTCCAAATACAAATTTAATGCATTATTTCCTTGTAATTGAATTTCATAATTTAAATTTTGAATTCTTTCCTTGATAAATCGTATTACCTATAAATTAGGAACATAAATTAGAAGACGGCCTATAAGTCAGATATAAAAATAGACAAAGAAAATGTTATGTTACCTAAAAGAAAAGTACATATAACATTGTTACACATTGTTGAAAATATGAAGAAGAAAAAAACACATATATACCTATGCAATAGGCAATAAGACAATATACCTACACCGTAAACAAATGTATTTTTTCCTTTGTTTACATTTAGAGTTCAAAGGAGCATGATTGTAGGAAAAAGCATGATTTTTGGGATATGTTTGCTATATTTTCCTTTTCTATTCAATGCCAAACGTTGTAAATAGCTATTTATTATGACATAAATGACTATTATCCGATTCAAGTCATAAGGGGCAACATTGGAACAAAAGACTTAGATAAAAAATATTACATCAGAAAATATTAAAAAAATGAATGTAATCATATGTGGCACAAAAGTCAAAGGACTTAGATCAAAGTCACCAAATCCGAGAATTAAACCCAACTCCTCAATGAGAATTTAGATCTATATCAACTTTTCTAATATATATAAATTTTGTTTTTACTTGCTAGAGAATAATATTAATCTCATAGTTGACTTCTTTTGGCCTGTAATTTCATAGTTGACTTACTCAATTAGATGATAGAGACATTGGTGTTTAATTTAAAAGTTGTTGCTAATTATCACCCTAAATAGAAGGATCCCATCCCAGCCCATGTTATGGCTCTTCATTTTCTTTTTGGGTTTTTATTTTCAAGTTTATTATCCATAGTTATAATTACTGAAAAACAATACATAAAAAACAAACACAGTGACTAGCCAACTTTCATTGATCAGCATTCAACTTTGGGGGACATGATCTATATAACTGTCTTAGTCAACTGGCCTAACCCATGTATGCTAACCGATATTTCTTCTTCTTCTTGTATATATGTATTACAATTAAAATTAACTTGTCTTGGAATTAGATTCTGTTCGAGCTGTGGAATATTTAATATTGCTATGAGTTCCTTCCAGTTGACTTCTACTATTTCATTAATATCTTATTGGAGAATTAGGGTCTACTATGCAAACCAGTAGCATTAAACCATCTGTGTAAGCATATGATCTAATGACATGTGCTGCCTATTTTACTAGCTAATATTATTGCAATTAATATATAATTTTTCAGTAATATATATTTAAGATCATTGTGTAGATAAGCAAGCAAATTTTTTTTTTTGGGGGTATATATATATATACAAGATCCCTTCTTCGTTCTCTTTTTAGGGCTGTGGCAATGATGCCTGCCACTTCCTCAGCAATTCCTTTATCTTATTTTGTATTTTAAATCGAATTCTTTTTCTATATCTTATGTTATAAGAGCCCTACTTACGCTCTCACCCAACTCTACAACTTACATACCAAATACAAAGCATCTAGGAAATGGCCCACCAAGCCGTATCATTCTCATTACATAATACAGATAGGTTGGCACAAAACAAACAATTAAAAGATTTCTTAATTAGTCAAACCAAACCCTCCTATGATCCCATCTACCAAACGATAATCTACTTTAATTTAAGGAGAATTTGAACTCGAGTGCAGAGACCATATTTTGGTTTGCGTTTATCAAATATCGGCAATTACACCCTTCTTGTACGCTTTAGAATTATTATGGTAGGGTGGTTTTGGAATTTTGATAGAGAATTTTGGACCAAATTTGGTTCAATTAATTATTCATTTTAGGCCAGTCTATGGCAAAATTCCTTTAAATTTAAAGCTGATTGAAAGGCTGCTAAAGTAATGTGTGCAGTTGCTTTTGAAGGGGAACAAAGGCAATATTTTTAAAAGAAAAAGGTCAGGTTAATAATTATGAGTCTTAAAGGAATATATATATCCAAAAATGAAAATAAAATGAAAGAGCCCTGGTCATCGAGTGATATCACCTATGCGTGTGCGTTAAAAGTATAAATGTTTCTTACTACTGCCACAGAAGAATCAAGGTAAAAATTTGGACCTGAATAGAAATTCCAGTCAATTAATTATTAATTTATTAGAAAATATGACCGTATGTTCCGTGACCATTTTATATGCGCATGCATGGGAAATAAGAAGGGGTTTGGATCCTCTTAAATATTATTGTGTCCTTTTTTTATTAATACAAAATCTGCTTCAAGTAAATAAATAAATCCAACTTATATCAACAGTGTAGTACAGATACAGTACCAAATAAAAGACTGAATCCTGTAGCAAAGAAAGAAAGAAAAAAACCAACGGGGTCTAGCCCACTGGAAAAAGACATTGATTTTCAAACTATCGGTCTCAGATTCGAACATCATGACACATTAGCT